TTTTACCAAAAATCTGCAGGAAGTCACTATTACACTCGAACGAAGTCGCGGGCAAAAGCTAGTATTTTTATATGTAAGGTCAATTTCAACCGGATTTTAAGGCGCTCACTTGGGCACACGCATAACCGTTTGAAATTTTCCGAAATAAGTATAATGTAATGTCTAAAATAATTTAGATAGCACTGACCTATGTACGTTGAAGGAAAACATCCTTAGAGAACCTAAATTTATAATTTCTAATGCTAAGTTTGAAGTCTCAAATGACGATTAATACTTACACCTTCTCCATGTGAGAAGATACCTTTGCTCAAATCAATTGTCTTACCTACTTACGTAGATTTTCAGACAAAAATCTAAATGGTACTGAATGTATGTACTCTCTTTAATACATATACATTGTTTTTTTATATATAGCTGGTTTAAACAGGTGACATATTCCAACGTTTCTCAAAAGAAGAAATAGATAAAATTGTAAAACTTAGTGTTAGTTGCATGTGAGGAAAGTGTTAGAAAGTTATAATATATATAAACAATAGTAAGGCATAAGTATGCAACAGAACTTCCTTACTTTCACTGCACAACAAATACTCTGTTTATTCATATTAATTGGGTAGGTACACTACTTCTAAGTAAAAATAGCTCAATAGATTATGATAGTCATTTGATGGATTCATCTCCGTTCTGGCGAGGAAATACAAGTAACGCGCTAAATAAGGTTTCGGAAAATACAAAAAATATTTCTACTGCTGTATGTATTCAAACAATTTTCTTTGGTTGGTGTTGTTATTTAAAACCCAAACTAATATTATATTATAAATGCGAAAGTGACTCAGTCTGTGTCTTTTCTTCACGCCTAAACTACTGAACCGATGTTTGTGAAACTTGGCCTGTACCAAATTTCACATACATCGGTTGACAGACATTGTTTGGTATTCCAGAAAGGCCATAGGATAGTTTTTATATCAATAATCTGCCGAAAGTCACTATTTCACGCGAACGAAGTCGCGGGCAAAAGCTGGTGAACAATATTTCATCGACATTAAACCATCCCCTGTCGTATACTCAACACTCCAAATCTTAACCTGCAATAAGTGGGCAACGCACTCGAAACTCGGAACTCTAGTGTCGCGAAAAACACTTCGAACTTCTCCTGTGTCTTGGGTGCGTTTACAACATAGAGTAATAATCGTTTACAAACATAAAAATTCACATACACATCACACACAGATCCGGAACATCATTTTACGTGGTAACTGCTCTATTATATTGCAAGTACCTACCTACTACTTCACGCAGACCCGGAACATCGATTTACGTGATAACTAGTCTACTAAATTGTACCATTTATTATAATTTTAGGACAAAACCAGCAGTTAACTGTCCAAAGTCCAAAGTCTTGCCATTTTTTATAGTGATGGAAGACATTTTAATTATGTTCTTGTTCTTGTACATTCATATTAAAATTTTATATTTTCACACAAAACTATGTACCTTTATCAAATGTAGGTATATAATGTGTGGGCAAACAAATATAATTTTAAAATCTTTAGAGACTACTAAACAATATACTTTTTAATGAGTTCTTTTCAGTCGGTATTATATTTGATAATGTAGTTTTACTTTATTATAAACTTCTTATTTACTTTATTTTCACTCGCTGCTCGGCTCCAATTGATTGTAGCGTGATGTTTTATAGCCTATAGCACACTGGAACATTGTAGCTATCTTTCAGTGAAAGAATTTTGGGAATCCGACCAGTGGTTCCAAAGATTACCCACTACTTACATACAAATTACAAACTTACAAATTTTACCTCTTTATAATATTAGTATAGATATCAGAATATGTATCTACTTATCCGGTCTTAAGTAGGTTGTTTAAAAAAATATTATTTGGCTAATAATTATAAACTGCTTCTAATCTATATCCAGCAACGGACAACTTTTATTACACTTTGAAATGTACTTCTAACTCCTATGTTGATACGAAAATGGATGAACGGAAACCTAATAAAAATATAAAAGGAAAAATTAAAAAAGAAAAAGAGAACAGCAATTATGATTATTTGTTTATATGTATTGATTAGATTTCGAAACTATTGCACTGATAAAAAAAATCTATAACAATTTTTATCATAAGTGAGTTCTTTGCATTCCTATAGCAGTGTTTGTGAACTATTTCTACAATTTACATTTCTATTTTTTTTAAAGAGTAATTTTCAAAATGAAACAAAAACAAAGTAGCATGCGAAAAATTAAAAAAATACTACATAAGTAATCTTACCAAGATTTTTATTACATAATGGTTAATGAAAATCAAGGTGACTGCCTCATGTGTGTTTTACCTAAGCTTCCTAGTTTTTGTTTGAACTATCCTAGTCTCAAGGTAAATATGCTATGGACGGTAATTTTTAATATAAGTACTTATGAATAAAATACGACAGTCGAGTCATAAGTCTTTAAGAAAATAAAAGAAAAATATAAATGACGTTGATTTTAATGTAATCTCAAGAACGTATGTGATTTCTTCACTAATTAAATTACTAAAAGACAAGAACGTTTAATTATTAGTGTAGTAGGAGATTTTCGGAAATTTCATAGAACTGGGAATGAAGAATTAATAAAACAATGTTTTTTTCTACAATGGGTGCTAGTGTTTATTAAAATAGAATGCTGTATGAATCAACAACTTTTTCGATATTGAGATTCATATATTATTGTTATTCTGACGTAATTTTATACATCACTCATATGTATGTATCTTAAATACCTATTTAAAAAAATAATTGTACTAAAAATTTACTCTCGTAACTGTTTTCAGAGAAACTCGACTAGTTTCAAGTCACGTTGGGGCTCACATTCATGAGCTGCATTGCGCGATAATCGTAGTCGTGCAGCTATGTGTTATTAGAAGCGCGACGTTGTGTTAGGTTAGTAAGGTAAGGTGTTTAAACTAATAATAAAATTAAATATATCTCATGAAAGTTAAAACACAGAAACCAAACATAACCAAATCGTAATTTACTTGATTCTTCTCAATCTGAGATGTTCGTACCTAGGTGTTGCCTGCAGTCTTATGATATTTAGAATGAGTAAATATTTTGTGAACTAAATACCTAATTATGTAACTAACTAGGTACCTACGTCTATCTATTACTGTTTAGATACGTTAAAAACATGCTCGTGATATCGTTGTTTAAAAACACTTATTTATTTTATTTAGGTATCTAGTTACTGTAGTTATCTACAGTAAAATGTTAGTTTTTCAACAGGAATTCTTGGTTTAGATACTACCTTTTTTATGGCTCTCCCACACTTAAATACATAGAGATACCTATTTTTCTTCACAGTGGAATTTGTAGCTACAATAATTTATTAGTATGATTTAGCCTAAGCATTTGTGTTGGAATCTTTTCTAGTACATATTATGTTAGTATCTGTAGTCAAAGATTTGCTTTGATTTCAAAAAAAAATTAAAGTCGATGACTGTAAAAATAATCGTATAACGTAGTATTAAGAGCCTCCTCAATAGAACAGCAAACGAATTACCCGATGGTAACCAATCAGTGCCGCCAATAGACACCCGCAACAACGGATGAGTTACGAGTGCGTTGCCAATCTTTTTAGGGAATTAGGTTTTGGGGAGGAGACGGATCGGTCCTCCGGTAACCTTACTTACACGGCGAAACACAAAGCTGTTTTTTTGTTAAGAAGGAGATTTAGAGAATAGTCCCGCAATGCACTTTCACAAGCCAGCTGATGTTGCGGGTCAAGCGCCATAATAGACGGGCCTGAATGACGGACGGAATGGTAGTAGGCCCAAAGGGCCTACCATTCCGTCCGTCATTCCCCTTCGTCATGCCCTTTGGGCCTACCATATACCATATAAAAGGTGTATAGCTCCATCTCTTTTTCTCGCCTGGAAGATTCACGCTTTAACACGTCATCATGATAGGCCTACTGGCTTGGAGCAGGAGTAGGAAAGGGTGGTTTTAGTAAGTAAGAGTCTGAGACTCCCTTTCGCCTCACCAAGAGCAGAAGAAGACATTTGACGACATTTCCCCGACAAATTAACTGTGACTCGAATACCAAAGATTGAACAAATCAGTCCAATCTACGCACGTGTTAGGCACAAACATTTTTCAATGTTTATTGAAAAGAAGTTTGATAAAACCCCATCATCATCGGCTTAAACTTTTTTTGTGTTGTAGTAACGAATACTCACGAATAAATTGGTTCTCGTATTAGTCACACAATTGGTTAGAGCCATGAAGTATGACGTCGTGGATGGGAATGACCCTTTTGGAGTTTGAAATCAATTATTACTTGTATTACTGATACTTGCTCAATTTTTACGGAATAAGAACTAGGAAAATGCTAAAACGGTTTTTTTTCTTACTGAAAATGAGACCTAGCTAGTTTGACTTTTCATCCCCAAAACTCTTGACCTAAAATTTTTTTATCGAAATCGTCGAAGATGTATATATGTTTATGTATATGTGCATTCAATCAGAGATTCAATTTTACCTCTAGTGTTTCTTATTAGATTTGTTGATTATATCACCTCATTCATTTTCGCTGATAAATTCAGCGCGTATTATAAAATTATTTTCAAATAAAATAAATTGATATGCAGCTGATAATTTTGTTGTAAAGATTTTCCAAAATATGAGACATAACTTGTCTTGTATTTACATAATTTTTATTATTATATCATGTGTGAAAATAGTTGTTTACTGATAAAGTTTTGTTTTTCAGTCACGTCTTAATGGCGGTTTGCAAAATTATTACATAGATCCCACAAATAATACATTCTGACACACGAAACTAGGTACATATATGTATTATATTAGATGGATACTGTAGAGTAAAAATCATGTTAAGATATAATACAATAGGTTCTGTGAATTCACACATTTGAGAGATCCCTATAAATTTCATACGGATGGTAATAATAAAATTGAATAGAGCCTTGGCAATCAAATACAAATAAAATCTTACCTTGATATTTTTTTTAATTATCACAACAAAATATTATGTTACACAATCACCACACACGTCCGTTCACTATGACCGTTGAATGCCGTATGGGAGCACGGCAACTGCTAGAAGCGGCGTGCGTACGCGCATATTTTTTAGACCTTTGATGTTGTTGTACTTCTGTTTACGGATCAATTACTCGCAGCAACAACTCATCGGTGATTATGACGGTGTGCTACCGGTTTTTCAATGATTTTCCCGTTAAGTATGAACAAGAAGACTTCGATCAATTTGTTCTGGAGGGGTTGTTTGATTTTTTTTTTTATTTAAGTTTATATATTTGTTTTATTGATAATGTATGGTATGATTGTTTGTGTTCTCTGCGTGTTCCTATCCTCTTTTGTCATCTACCAATGATATGTATGTAGTCTCTTAGGTTTTATTTGTGATTCTTCACACCAATTTAATAAAAAATTACGTTGTCATTATCCTTATCCTCAACACAATTATGTCAATAACTGTGCCGATTTCAAACTAACTCAGCCTTTTGGGGATTGAGTTTCAAAGATTTAGTGTTAGGGGAGGGATGGGAGTAGGGAATCAATTTTTTTTATTGTATAAGTCGTCAAACGAGCAGAGCAGACGGATTACCTGATGGTAAGCAATCGGCGCCGCCCATGGACACCCGCAACACCAAAGGAGTTACGAGTGCGTTGCCGGCCTTTTGGGGATAGGGGTTGCGGATATAAGGATCGGGAAGGGATGGGGGAAGGGGCGGGATTGGGCCTCCGGTAACTTCACTCACACGGCGAAACACAACGTTGTGGTTGTTTCACGCCGGGATTCTGTGAGACCGTGGTATCACTCCGGTCGAGCCGACCCATTCGTGCCGAAGCTTGGCTCTCCCACACAATGATTGAATGCATGCTTAAATCTAACCAGGATAATGATTTGTTAAATAAATGTTAAGATTTTTTGGGGAATCACTCAGTTGAAAGGAGAAGTGAAATAAGATAAACGAGTGCTTCAATATAACTTTCTGTTTCTATTAATGATTAAGTTCTTCATAACATATAAGTTAAGTGTGGGAGAGCCATGCTTCGGCACGAATGGGTCGGCTCGACCGGAGTGATACCACGGCCTCACAGAAAACCGGCGTGAAATAACCACTGCGTTGTGTTTCGCCGTGTGAGTGAGGTTACCGGAGGCCCAATCCTTCCCCTTCCCCAATCCCTCCTCAATCCCTATATCTCCAAATCCCTAATCCCTGAAAGGTCGGCAACGCACTCGTAACTCCACCGTTGCGAGTGTCCATGGGCGGCGCTGATTGCTTACCATCAGGTAATCCGTCTGCTCGTTTGCCGACCTATTACATAAAAAAAAAAAAAAAAGTTCTTGCTGCTGGATTATATCTATTTATTTATTACTTTCGATTGTTATAGAAAAAAGGATGACGGGTTGCGATTTATTTTCGTTGGCCATTGACTTATTACTTTAAGCTTATAATTTAAAGTAGTTGATTTGGAAACTATATGCCCTATTTGTGTATGAACATCCGGTTTTGTTTGTTGGAAGAGGAAAACATTAAATGACTTTTGTCTCCCAGGGATTCTGCATTAGGTCCCTTTTTTAAAATGATTGAGAACCTTAGGTATCTGTGATGTGCGGTAACTGAAAAAAAAAAGAAATTATTTTATTTTTAGTTAAGTTATGTAATTTTTCACAACACAGTACTTTAGCTGTTTTTGAGTTTCTAAGACAATGTCAAAATGTAAGGAAGGAAGTGAATCAAACCCCTTCTTTTTAAACGGTTTTATTTAGCTCACCCCGTTTTATTCTTGGGTCAAATTTAGTAATTCAAATTTCACCCTCTTCCTGTCAACCGATTAATCTGAAATTTTGTGTACACTTTCAATTTTGGTGACAATACAATTATGTGTAATCATAACGATTATAAATCCAAAATGGCGGCCGCTACAAAATGGCGGATAACGTAGGTTTTATCAATCCCATCAATATGGGTATCAAATGAAAGGGCTCAACGAGCAGAATACAATATAGCTACTATAAACAATTTAAATCCAAGATGGCGGCCGCTACAAAATGGCGGATAACGTCGGTTTTATCAATCCCATCAATATGGGTATCAAATGAAAGTGCTCAACCAGTAGAATACAATGTACTTTAAAAAATTAAAACCCAGGATGGCGGCCGCTACAAAATGGCGGATAACGTGGGTTTTATCAATCCAATCAATATGGGTATCAAATGAAAGGGCTCAACGAGCGGAATACAATGAAGCTCTATAAACAATTTAAATCCAAGATGGCGGCCGCTACAAAATGGCGGGTAACGTGAGTTTTATCAATCCAATCAATATGGGTATCAAATAAAAGGACTTGACAAGAAGAATACAGTGCACTATACAACCTCAATATTTAAGATGGGCGCAGCCACTAAATGGCGTATAATAATAAGATTTAAATATAGAAATTGAATCTGTAATTTAGGTATAATTTATTAATATTTAAGTGTGGGAGAGCCATGCTTCGGCACGGAAGGGTCGGCTCGACCGGAGTTATACCACGGCCTCACAGAAAGCCGGCGTGAAACAACCACAACGTTGTGTTTCGCCGAGTGAGTGAGGTTACCGGAGGCCCAATCCCTACCCAATCCCTAAATCCCCAAAATCCCAATCCCTAAAAGGTCGGCAACGCACTCGTAACTCCTTCTTTGTTGCGGGGGTCCATGGGCGAGGCTGATTGCTTACCATCAGGTAATCCGTCTGCTCGTTTGCCGTCCTATCACATAAAAAAAGGTATCTGATTAATCCAGCCTGAATCCACGACCCACGTCTCAAGACTTTGTATCGTGTTAAGGACTGTGTGGCGTTAGGGTGGCTAAAAATGATACGTAGTTATCGGCATACCACCCAAGTTAAAAGTTAAAACGCGCTGAGAACTGTATGGCATTAGGGTGGATAAAAATGAGGCGTGTCTATTTTCCGCTAAAAGGAGTCAATTTAGTCCTACTCCAACTTTCCAGGGTGTATCCGTGCCGATAACTGACCATCTTGATCTTCTTGGTATAACGCTGACATTACTCTCAACTTTGGGCCATACATCGAAGCAAAACCTCAACTGGCTGCAAAAAAGTTGAGAATCCTAGCACGGGTTAGACAATACTTCACGCCGGAACAGCTGTTTAAACTTTATCAGGCGCAAGTTTGATCGGTTATGGAGTACTGCTCTCATCTTTGGGACTGATATGCCTGATACCAACATTATGCGCTTGAGTCTATTGAGGGACGAGCCAAGAGGATCATTGGCGATGATGCACTTGTCGAGTCGAGACTTCAAAATCTTGAGCATCGATGCCGAGTTCCTAGCCTGTCGGTTTTCTACCAGTTGCATTTCGGGGAGTGTGCGTCGGAATTACATAATTTAATTCCGTTTAGCCCGTTCCATCATCGGACCACCAGACGTACGGCATTGCACCACCGGTATACGGTGAATGCCCCATATATACGTACCAAACGTTTTGGGAGCACATTCATTATGCGTACAGCCATGGAGTGGAATTCCTTGCCGGAGTCGGTGTTTCCTGGGGTGTGATTCTGTAAGACTTCATTCTAAACTTCGAATCTGAATCCGCGGTGAGTTTCTTGATTGGCATTCTAAAACTCGATTCCTAACTCGAATCTATGCTAGCGCTACACTTGCGAGTGTGTTTACGAGTTGAACTAAATTGACCGCAACATTTTGACAGATAAAGTATGAGATAACGTTGAAAATCGTATTCTTTAATGTAATTTACCTGTCACTTCGACGCTCACTTCGAACTAGAACAAGATTCAAAATGTCAAATTAAAAGTATCTATTTTACGAGTGAAAATTGAAGAAATAATAGTTAGATAGTGTTCAAATTAAGTTTTGAAAGTAACAAAGTGAATAAGTGCTTACCTATTAAAACGATAACAATGGCAAGAATGATTTTGGTAAAATCTTTGTTAGAAGAAGCTCATGCTTTAGATAAACAAGAAATGCGTCGACAATCTAGCACCATTCGAAGTTTGTCTTTATTAACCTGAGATGACGACTATGTGAGCGTGTATCTGCAATGGAGCTGATTGACCAACTGGAGTATGAGTTACTCCCTTTGATAAAACCCACAAAACGGCGAGGCAAAGGGCTTTGGACTTTCAAATATATACATATATCTGTATAATAATATAATAGTTTAGTTCACAACATATATTACCATGTTATACCCCTACTTCAGAATATATAAGTCTAATTACTAGGTTTGATTTATATGTGATTGGTCGGCAAACAAGCAAACGGATTACCTGATGGAAAAGATTCAGCGCCGCCAATGGATAACCGCAACAACAGAGGGGTTACGAGTGCGTTGCCGACCTTTTGGGGATTATGGATTTGGAGATTTTGACACACATTCACACGGTGAAACACAACGCTGTGGTTGTTTCACGCCAGTTTTCTGTAAGGCCGTGGTATCTCTCCAGTGGACCGAGCCATTCGTGCCGAAACATGGCTTTCGCACACTTAAAATGGTATAAGTACTAGATAGTCATTAGATTTTTTTTGCTCGACGTACGACGACCTTATGACACCATTAGTGGTGTTGAAGACAATTCCCCAGAAGCATTTTAAAATAACATTCATATTACTGCTCGCAATTCAGAAGAGAGGACAATTAGAGACGAAATTATGTACAATTGCTGAAGTTCAAAGGAGGCAAACTAGGAATTTGTCCTTTAATACAGGTTTAAATCTAGGACGTAGGCAAAATATAGTGCCTCAAAGAGCCAATAGACTACCACAGACGGAGCCCTACAGGGCTGATGTTCAGCCACGGTGGAGGGGCAAGCGCAATGAAGTGCCACGATCACGGCCTAAAGCAGGAGAAGGAACGGTGGTTTAGTCAGTAAGAGTCTGACACTATCTCGCCTTACCCTGGGCGGGCCTAAAGCAGGAGAAGTCATGATGATTTTCCCCTGACAAAAAAATATGATTATGATTTTATTTTATTTTGATTTTAAGTCAATTAGGGTTTTGTATGATTTTACTTTTTCCA